GTATAGCATTGTTACATGATTTATATATTGCCAACCCAACCGTTAGATTATATTCCTAACAGGAAACTTGTCTGGTTAGTGGAATAACACTTAAGCTCTTTGTCTTTGTCTCCCTTCCCACAGCTTAGCACAGTGCAGAGGCTCTTGTCTCAAAACCTTGTGTCTATAAATGTCCAGGATGAAGATCAGTACACTCCTCTTCACCGCGCCGCCTACAATGGACACATGGAAGTGGTGCGTGAGCTGATTGCTCATGGGGCAGATGTCCACGCGTTGACTGTGGATAGTTGGACACCTCTGCACAGCGCCTGCAAATGGAACAACACCAAAATTGCCTCCTTCTTGCTCCAGCATGGGGCAAATATCAACGCTCAGACCAACGGGTTGCTGACGCCTCTTCACTTGGCAGCCGGAAACCGGGAGAGCAAAGAAACCCTGGAACTGTTACTCATGAATCGATACTTAAAGCCAAATCTCCGAAACAACTTGGAAGAGACGGCTTACGATATTGCTCGAAGGACTGATAAATACCACTACTTGTTTGAGATCGTCGAACACTGCACAAACTCGGTCACAGATTCTTAGGAATTGTATACCTAGCCCAGACGGCCAGTGCGCTTTAATGGAATCTATTTTGCCATTGCATTCCCAGTTCTTTGCGTCATAACTTAGCAGGCGCTAAAATAAGGCTCTGTTGAGTAACACATTATTTTTATAAGATAAGTTATATGTCTATGGCGGGTGTCTGCAACCTGTGGCTCCAGAGCCGCATGCGGCTCTTTGGGCCCTCTGCTGTGGCTCCCTGTTGGGTGATCCCACCAGTGGCTGGCTCTGCCTGGCCTGAGAAAGTAAGGGCAATGGCGGGGGATGGAAAAGCAACCCGGGCTGATTCTCCGGCGCCTCACTCTTGCTAGCGCTTCTTCCATTGTGCCTCGGTTGCTTGGGGAGAGGGAGGGAGGGAGAAAAAGAGAGAGATGTCAAAAGGGTTTTGTGGTTAGCGATGTTTTTTAACAACCGGTTCTCTGCCCTAATGACAGGCTAGGTAGGCGTGGCTTGGGGGAGTCATGTGACTGGGTGGGAGTGAGTGATGTTGAGTTGGCCATGCCTACTCAGGTTTTGTGGCTCCCGGTGTATTCTTTTCTGTGGGAAACGGGTCCAAATGGCTCTTTTGAGTGTTTAAGGTT